TTTCCTGTTGGAACACTGTAGATTTACTCTAACATTCTGGCGCCTATCCTATATATATATATATATATATATATATATATTGTTAGAAGGGTAAAATTCAAGTCATTTTCACTATTTTTCAAGGCTGCAATTTTAAAAGCTGAAATTGTCCAGTGAGCTGTTTCCAAACGCAATTTCTTTTTGTCTTACACTTGTGTGAACAAAATGACAAATAAAATCTGTCTAAAGGCTAAAGTCTATCCACTTTCGGCCAACCCTCAGTGTACATTGGTTATTACCTGGCTACGTCTCTGCGAGGGGCAACAGAGTTCTGAAGGGAATTTTCCAAAGCCGAAGCAGAACCATGTTCACAGACCAGAGAGCCGATGAGGTACAGAAGAGGAATCCAAGCCGAGGTCAGCACAGTCCAGGTTCGGGAAGCCAGTAGAATCCAGGAATCAGTCCAGAACAGAGCAGATCAAAGAGCAGACAGGGGCAAAGCAAAACACAGTCACAATCAGAACAACAAGCAGAACGCTAGAGTTAAACCAAACATCCTAAATAATCCGGCACCAGTAGCTGGAAAACATGCAGCATATATAGGAGCTGAAAACAGGTGGATCAGATAAGCAGTAATGAGAAACCGGGCAGAGTTAAACAGGTGAGGTGGAATGATCAATAAAGCCAACCATCAAAGCCAGGATCATGATGTTTCAAAATGGAAAAATAAGTGAGTATTCTGATTTATGTCTTTCTAATCATAAAGAACCAAAAAGGGAAACAATATAAAAGGATCTAATGTGGACAAAAGGATAGATTTTAAAAATCATCTTCTAAAGAAGCTACATAATCATTAATTGCAAACATTATTATAAAACAAATGACTCTAAATGATAGCTTAACTTGGAAAAAAAAAAGATAACAATGTCTTTTTTTGACTTAAAACATCTAAAAAAAAATAACTTAACATTAGATCTTCATGCTTCCGCAAAAAAAAATAAAAATAAATAAAAAATGAAATGAACTAAAGTTCCAGGTTTTACATTTAGATTTCTACTAAAGCTAAAATGAAAGTATTCCTATTTATTTTCCTTTGAAGTAAACAGGAAAAGAACTAGGTGAAGCAGTTACTTAAATAATTTTAACTTTCCGCATCCAAAGAGTCAAACTGGGGAATTCTGGAAAGTCTGATGAAAACCAAGTTGTGTCCTGATTGGATTAGCCTCTGCAGGCCCATTGACACACAGAGGAATCTAGTTAAAGACCATATGTTGTTCATTTGGTCCCGGAGTCCGGACTGTAACTACAAACACCTCTATTGGTTTATTCATTACTATGACCTCGTTAAAGAAAAATGGAGGCTTGGAGTTCATCATATGATGAAGGCTGAATGACGCTGAATATTGTGTACAGCTCTAGAAATATTATTTCTATTATGCATCTGGTTAAAGTCCTAAATGTTTGTTTTTGGTTTCTTGTTTTTATGCTTATTTTAAATTCGGTCTCTACATGGCTTCCCATGTTTGTTGTTGAGTGAAGTCTCATTTATATTCATGTAATTTCTCATTTCTGGTCTATAAAGTTGTTTTTTTTAAATCTTTTGTCATTTTAAACCTTTTTTTTTTTTTTTTTTAGATTCGATCTATTTCTGATTTTGTTGTAAAGAAAATCTCGGTTAACATTTTTTTCTGTTAGCTGTCAAAATAATTACCCAAAGACTATATAAATACAAGCTTTAAAAGGAAAGTAAGAAGAAATGAAGCGTTAATTTGCAAAAACAGATAACTAAAAAGAAACTTTTTTTATTACCACGACATGCAAAGAGTAAATTACATGCTTCAACTATTTTGTTTTTCAAAAAATAAATGAAAAAAAAAAGAAAAAAGTAGAAATAAAATGTAGATTGAGCACCTATATTTGGAATTTAAACAAATGAATTAATTTTATAAATCTTGCAGAAGAAAAAACAAACTCTTTATGTAATAAGGAGTAATATCAACATTAAAGATTGATACATTTTGATGTTTCTAAGTCTAATTTTTGTTTCATTTAATCTGTTTTTTAACCTTTTTTTTGTCTGTTGGTTTAGTTTGGTCTCCTTATAAGGAAACAGCTGCAGGGTGTTTGCACTGTTGTGAAGAAAATGATTTCGGTTCATTTAATAATTCTGAAAATTAAACATTTTAAAAAGGACTAGTTATACCTCCTTAGACCAATTTCATCCATTTTTACCTGTCCCTATTTTAAACTAGCATTTATAAATGGTTAGTTTCAACATTGTTCCTGTTATTCTGTGACATGCTAGGTATGCCGTGCTGCAGAAAATTTATTTTCCTTGGCGATAATAAGGAATCTTTGAACATGAACTTGCACTTAATAAGATAATCACATCCAGGAGAAACAGGGATCATGTGCTTCCTTATTAGTCCCAAACATTTGTTGGAGCCCAGGACTTCCACTTTAACGGTTAGAATCAAATCCCCGAACTTTACCTCAAGTATTATTACATTTTCAAAAAGTCACAAGGATAAAAAGAAGTGGTTACAGTTAAGGTTTCTGCACGGTTCATTCCACACATCTATGCATCTAAAATAGATTTACAGAAAAGACTCTTTAACTAGATTAGATATACAACTGTTAATAAAATCTTGGAGGCTCTCCAAGGTCAAAGGATCAAACCCTATGAGGTCAGACATCAGCTGAAACCTCATCATTAATTTAACTGATCAAATAGTTTTGAAAGAGTAACAGTCAGTTCATGTTTAATTAATACAGTGGTTCCCAAAGTTTGGGGAATGCTCTCAGGGGGGGGTCTCAGGTGGAAATAATCTGAATAAATGACCAATTGGGAGTTTTTTCATTAAGTGAGAGCAATGTTGCTTTCTGTTCAAGTAATTAGACTCCAAAGGTGGTAGATTTGTTATTTGTTAGAGATTTAACTTTTTTTTT